GGTGGCGGGCAGCGCACGTAGGCTTCGCGTGACTCAAGGTGGCTGGAGCAGCTTGCCAGCCTCGCCGAAGTGTGGGGAGGGGAGGGTCCTCGAAGTCGCCCCCGTTGTGAGCCCAGGAGGAGAGAAAACCTCTTTAAAACGCTGCCCGCGGGGAGCTGGGGAGGGCGAGGATGCTGCTGGGGTGTCCCAGCGGGGTCTCGCTCGAGCAGCGCTTTAGAAGATGCTGTCTCTGACTGAGGGCAGTTACCATAAACGATTCCCATGCTCGGCGAGGCTGATGAGCTCAGCGTCCCAGTAGTCAACAGACAATGGGATGAACTGGGCTCGGGGAGCACCGAGAGGAGAGTTTCTCCAGATGCAAGTATTTAGAAATAACATTCCCAGCTGTGCTAAAGGCGTTCACGGAGCTTCTGCACTTTCCATCATGAAACTCCGCTGTCCCCGTCCCCGCGGCATCGCCGAGGAGCGGCCGCCGCAGGCAGCTGCCCGGCGCTCGGGCAGGCGGTGGGGAGGGCTGGCAGGGGACCGGGGTTTTCTGCCTGCTGGCAGCCGGCAGGTCTCGCCCCAACAGAAACCTGCTAGCCCCTGGAAGGGGGCAAAAAGCGAGTCTGGCCTGCCGCGCAAATGGCTTGGGCCGGAGGTGACCTGGGCTTGCTCCTGGTAGGCAGCTCTATCGCTGAATTCCCTTTCCAGTGTGAACGGGCAAAGGCCTGTTTGCAGGGACCGCAAGGGTCCGTCCGGGGTGCGCTCGGCTTCCCGGGGATGTGAGTATCTGCTTGGGAATTGTCACTTCAGCGGGGACTGTCAGGGAGGGGGACCCCGCTGCCCGGCGAAGGGACCCGCTCCCCCAGGCTGGCAGACCCTTCGCATGGCGGTGCCGGGCTCCCGCAGAGCCCTGCCGCGTGGCGTGCCGACCCCTCTCCCCTTCTGCAACCTCTCTGCAAGCCGGCGCGGAGCGCAAAGCGCGCTGCTGCCCTCGGCACGACGCTGGCTCGGGGCTGTTGCGCCTGAGGAGGTCACAGCTGGAGGACTGTGGTCCGGAAAGCACCGAGCTCCTGCCTAATACCGTGCTGGTGTGCGTGGCAGACGGTGCTGTTGGGGTAAAAGCCGTGTCCTCCAGTGTCCCGAGGGGCCCCGCAGCAGCCCCTTTCCAAAGCAGAGGTGCTGGCAAGAGGGTTTGGCGGGGCGAAGCGGTGCAAACCCACAAGCCGTGCTTCGGGCATCGCTCACTCGTCTTTCCCTCCTCCCAAAGGTAGTGGGGATTCCTCTCTGGAGAAGGAGTTCAGCTCGGCGATCGTGGGACCCACGGTGAGCACACCCAACAGCCAGCACTCCTCCCCGAGCCGCTCTCTCAGTGGTGAGTACTCCGACTTAACTGAAAAAAGCCACGCCACGGTCTGCCTGGTTTGTCCCCAAACCCTGCGCTCTCTCAGGCGTGACATAAATTCTGACTTCCCGCTGTGACAGATTTCTCTCCGAGCCTGACTCTTTGTTTTCCAACCCAAGAGGATAAAACCCCGCTTGGGTCTCCGCACGGAGCAGCTGCCCCAATGCTGATTTTGGGCACCGGCTGTTGCGGAGCCCGGAGTTTTTCAGGTCGGCTGTGGCGCTGCCGAGGAGTCGGGGTCTTTCCTCGTGGTTGTGAGTTTCACCTTGACTTTCAAGCGGCTGCGTGTTCCAGACTGATAATGGTGACAGCTCTGGAGGGGCTGCGGAGCCGTCGGTTGCTCTAGAATAAGTCATTTTTTTATATCTGCCTGGATGGCTGTGTGGGAAACGAGAAGCTGCTCTGCTTCCTCTCCTGTGGTAGCTGGGGCAGGTTGGAGTCCGCGGCGTCCACAGCAGTTCTCGTAGCAGCGGACCTCTGCCTCTGCGCGAGTGAGGCCGTTGGGAGGTTGGTTGTGCAGCCGTGGGAGATTCGGAGAGCCCCGGGCACGTTCGGATACACCGGGAGTACCACGGGGTGATGAAAGGCACCACCGGCTCCCGGCGTGCGCCTGCCCTGGCCGGGCTGTGCTGTTTAGGTCAGGCACCAGCTTTGCCATCGTGTCTCTCCGTCGTTCTGCCTGCTCCCCCCAAGAAAGGGGCAGAAGAGGGGGGAGGCAGCGTGCTCCTTGGGAAGCTCCTCTCCTGCCAGCCCTCGTCGCCCCGCAGAGCGGGTGCGTGTCCCCTCGGGTCTTGCCCGGTCGTGCCTCTGCCTCCGTGTGCTCTCGCCCGGCAGAGTGCTGTCGTCGGCAAAGTGCCGTCGGCCGAGTTGGTGGCTGGTACCGGGCAGAAACGGGACCGGTGTGGGGAATCTCCTGTCCACAACATGAAACTTTCAATCTCCTTCCGCGTCCACTGGTGGAATTCTTTTGCTTTTTATTTAAAATGAATGAAACTGCTTTTTCAGTTACATTTAGGAACCTCCCCCAGTAAAATGGGTCCGTTTTCCGAGTTATGGCAGGCTGTCCCTCGTCCTGGCGTGCCGTCCGCTCCCGTTGCTCGCTGTGGGGATTGATGAGAAGTGTGACGTTGCCCCTGTGCGTGGAGGAGCGGCGTGGCCCTGGCTGCGCTCGGGACGGCTGGTACAGGCTTAACTCGCCGAGACACTGTCTACGTCGCAGCCTTCTCGGGGCAGCAGTCGGGTTCCCATGGGCCGTACACGCCACTAAGTCGTGTTGACGCGTGAAAGGAAGGAGCGCTGAGACAAGAAAAGTCAGCAAGTCCCACTCTGAATCGCGCTCTGGGTGTTCGGGAGCTGACAGTTGGGCCGTCTCTACCAGATTGACTCAACCGACACCGAAAAGACCGGCACTGCATTGATCTTCCCTCTCTGCCGGGTTCCAGCGTGCAGTTGCCTATTGCTTTTCCGTAGCAGAGAAACTCCCCCATAATTCATCCACGTGGGCTTCCAGCAGCGAGGTGCTCGGGACACCTCTGGTTAGGTCCTGGCGTTTGAAGGTTGCTCTTTCTGAACCAGGGTAAAATAAACCCCAAACAGTACGTTTTCAGAAGGGGTGATGTTATGAGTTAGCCCTGTTGCCGTTTTTTCCCTTTTATTACTTGCTATTTGTTTTACATTTGCCCTATAAAAACGCTTAGGAGCTCTGCAAAGAAATGAAATCTTGGCTTTTTCGCAGAGGACAGCTCTGAGAGGTAACGCAGCCTTTTCGCTTGATCAGAAGCAAAAGGAATTGAGCACGTGGACTGACTGAAAGGACAATAACGATCCCTTCCCCTTTAACAGCAGGATGCTAGTGATGGTATTGCCTCTGATCTGACTTGACTTCACAGCTGGTTCATCCAGCAAGCATCGTGCCCCAGAGGAGCAAGAACATTGTATAACCTGTTCTGCCAGCAGAGACTTCTCTCCAGTGAGACCGGACTCTGCATTGGTTCTGAAAGGAGAATTACAGAACAATAGTTGGCCTCCCTTCTATGCCCAGGAAAAAAATAAGTCCCCGGGGGAATGGGAGAGAAGAAAAAAAAAAAAACACCCAAAAACCGCAAAAAACCCAACCAGAAAATCAAAGTGCAGCAAACGTCAACTCATCCAGGCAGCTCCCGCCACCGAGAGAGGAGCTTTTCACTTCGTGTTTGTGCACAGCGGCGTCTGTTTGCGCTGGGTCTCCTGGATGCTCCCAGGGGAGCGTGGTGGCACCGGCCAACGCATAAATAAAGTTCTGCTCCCCCCCGCAAGAATGCTGCAGCCGCAGAGTCTCCTCCCGGTCTGCAGCCAGCGGTGGCTTTGGCCAGTGGCTCAGCAGACGGTCTGAAAGTGCCTGCGATTGCCAAGGCCGGGTGTACGCGCAGTTCACGTTGCCTGGAGCCTCGCTGGGAAGGCGGCATTGTCTGCCGCCAGGATCCAGGAAGGGAAGGAGGGGAGCGAGGGCCAGAATTCCTGGGCTCTTCACCCGGCAATAAACCTCACGCGGTCTCGGGTGAATCACTTCCATGCTGCTGCTCCTCCTCGTTAATCCCCACTTGCGAAGCTGTACCTAGCTCTGGGGGAGAGCCAGAGCCCTCCTGCCGGCGGCGGTGCGGAAGAGGAGCTCTCCCCGGCGAGCGCATGGCCTGGCTCCTCGGGAGGCACGGCTCTCCCCGGGACTGGGACCATCTTGCTGCCACCGTCTCCTGTGTTGGCGCGTCCTCCTTGCCCGGTAAGCGACCCGAAGCCTTCCTGCTCGCCCACCGGGCAGGACCGTCCCTGCCCCAGCCGAGGCGAGAGTTTGTTCAGAACCCCCGAGGTTTTAAAGGTCGAGTCCTCGGGGTGGTTTGGTACCATTACCCAGGTTCTCTCGAATCCCCTCGCTGTGTCTGTCGGCGTGCCGCAGGCGTCCCCGGACCATGGGTGAGCATTCATGCTCTCACAAAGAGCTGAATGAGCCCCAGGGGTCGAGTCAGCACCAGATCTGGAAGCTGCTGGGATTTCTGTGTGGTTGCGCTCAGCCAGCTCCGTTCTCACGCCTGTCTCCACAAGGCAGCTTGGACGCTGCAATCTCCTACCCTCCGGGCAGCAGCAGAGTCTCCTTTGTGTATATAAAGTTCAGTTTCCTCCAGCCCCCACAGTTCTCCTCTTAAGGGATTGGGAAGAGCCTCCTGCTTTAAATGGAAGAAATAAGAATCTGATATTTAAAGGGATCCTGTAAATATTTTGCTTAAGCCCGTGGGCTCGGTGCATGGCCATGTGGGTGACCTGGATTCGACTTTACTCCATCGTCGTCTTCCTCCGGCCTGCCAGGACCAGCGCTACGGGAGCAGGTAGCGGGTGCGATCGGCTGAGGAGCCGCCATCCCCAGCCAGGGAGCCTCCCCAGGGGCTTCCGTCTCGCTCCCGGCTGCTGGCGATGGCTTAAAGTGGGAGGAAACTTCCCAATTTGATCATTTAAAGACTAGCTTTCCAAACAGGCGACTTTTCACCGAGGCTGAGGGTGTCCCGGCGGCAGTTCTCCCTCGAGCAGAGGGTACCGCCGGCATCGCGAGGTTGGACGACCGCTCGGACGCCGGGCCGAGGGAGGAAGCGTGCAGGATCTGGGTGGCCAAGTTCGTCGGGAGGTAGCGGAGGGAGCAGAGGGAGAGGTTTCCCCCGTCCTTCCCTCTCCCGGTCCCCGCAGGACTGCAGCTCGCTGCCAGCGGAGGGAGCGGAGCGGTCGCCATCGTCTCGGGGAGTGTTTGATTTGTGGCATTCCACAGATCATTAGAGCAGCCGGGAATGTAGGTCAGGGCTGGCGCATCCCCTCGCCAGCCTCCGCTCCTGATGCTGCGGGAGGAAGGAAAGGTAGCAGCGGGGAGGGAAACCCGGGGCGCTTCGCTTTCCTGCCCACCCCGGCTGCTGCCCGGACCCCCCCCCCCTCCGTCCTCCGCCTTCGGTGGGCTTCTTCAGCGCCGTTCCTCCGGCTCCTCTCTCTCTGCTCTCGTCTGGGGCAGGAACGCCGCAGGGCGGCTGTGCCGGGCAGGCGCCAGCCCTCGGCTGTGGGACCTGTCCCTGGCATCGCTCACGTCCACTTCCCTAATTTCACACAAGCTTTCTTGAGGTCTTCGGTGCCACCCCACGGGTGTCTGCGTGTTCGCCCCCTCCCTGCGTTCGCCGCAATCGCCCTCTGCCTGCCTGGGGCAGGGGTGGGGGTTTTCGGGCAGCACCGTCCTCTTCGGTTTCTTTTTTCTGCCTTTAGATAGCTGATGGATTCCAGGTCTTATAGCGAAGCTGAAAACTCGCGGTGAAGCAATGGCTCCTCCGGTGAGTCGAGATTTCCTGACTGTCCAGGAGACTCGCGTCAGGCTCCCTGTGCCAGTGGATTTTGAGCCTTTACCGATTCAGAGAGTCAAAATTTGGTGTCTTTGCTTCCTCTGCAGTACTTTAAAAGCACGAGTGGTTTTTCTTTCCCCTTCTGCCTTTCAGTCCAGGGAACTAAATGTTTTTTTCTTCAGTCAGTCGCCTTACGAGGCGGGATGCAGAGCAGTAATCTTCGGGGTGTGCAGACACGCCGCCCGGCCCGTAACCTCGTGTGATCCGGGTCTGATGCCTGTTCTTGAGTAGTCAACAACATAAGAAGGTGCACGTTTATCGCAAACAAATCACTTAACGCATCACCGTATTTCTTTCGGGAGTAAGTCCCGCCTAAGCTGTGCTCCCAGCTCCTTGGACTTAGGAGCTTTTTTTCCCCCACTGACTGTGTTTTATCCCTTCTGCCTCCTCGTAGCAAACTCTATCAAGGTGGAGATGTACAGCGATGAGGAAGCCAGCCGGCTGCTGTCACAGGATGAGCGGATGCTGGAGAAGGAGGACAGCGTGATCGTGGAGGACTCGCTCTCGGAGCCCCTGGGCTACTGCGACGGGACGGGCCAGGAGCCGCACTCCCCCGGGGGCATTCGGTTGCCCAACGGCAAGCTGAAATGTGACATCTGCGGGATGGTGTGCATCGGCCCCAACGTGCTGATGGTGCACAAGCGCAGCCACACCGGTGAGTGGCAGCCCCGAGGCCGCCGTCGCTGCCAGGGCAGGGGCAGGGTGGGCTGGAGGGAGGCAAATTCCCGAAGCCGGGTGGCAAGCGCGTGTTGGCTGGTGGGCACGGATGCCACGGGAGATGGGCGTCAGCTCCAAGATGCTGTCCCCGGTGGTGGCGGCCAGGCGATGCCAGTGAGGAAAGGACCGGGAAAGCGCACGTGGCTGCTCTGTCCTCGTCACTGTCCAACCTCCGGCAGCAGGTCTGTCGCTGCCCGGGTTGGAGGTCACCTCCGGAGTGTTTGGTAGTTAGCCTGGGGCTTTCCTTCTCAAACACGCTCAGCGCTGCTGAGCCCGTGAATGCTTCTGGTCTCCCGGGGTGTTGATTCGAGAGCTGCTCCTCGGCAGACTTAGAAAACGCTTTTAACCATGAGTTTCACCCACTGCTCCGGTTTTGCAGGAGAAAGGCCGTTCCACTGCAACCAGTGCGGCGCCTCTTTCACCCAGAAGGGAAACCTCCTGCGTCACATCAAACTGCACTCCGGCGAGAAGCCCTTCAAATGTCCCTTCTGCAACTACGCCTGCCGCAGGAGGGATGCGCTCACCGGCCACCTGCGAACGCACTCCGGTGGGTAGCTCTGGCCGGCCGGGAAGGGAGGAGGCGGCAGGGAGGGATGGTACCATCACACGGTGATGGTACAAAACCAGGGGGTTGAGCCCAGCTTCCAAAACCCGCCGGCCTCCAGCTCTGAACCGACAGCAGCCAAACTTGCTCTTGTGTCGCTTGCCGCAGTCGCTGCGGTGCAGAGCCGACCTGCCGAGGGCAGAGCCGGTGCCTGGGGGAGGTTGTGTTGGTGTCTGGTTAATGGACTGGGAACTCCGCTGACCTGCGGCGCCTGCGGGGCTTTGTGCCGCTGTGTTCCAGTCGTTCGTGGGGGTTATTGCATCTCTTTCTTATAAAGATAAATGTTTAATAGATTTTATTGAGTTAAGATAGGTCCCACCCTTGGGTGTGCCCTGCCCCAGTGAAAACGAGCGCTGAGGGGTTTTGTTTGTGTGTTGTTTTGACCTTGTCCTTTTTAAATATGACATTTGAGATGTGGTTTTCACCCTCCGGTTCCGTGATGTAACAGCTGGCGGGGGCCATGGGTGGGAGTGAAGCGCGGCAGCCGGCCCCCTGCTTTGTGATCGTTTTCCCTTGATTTGCGTACCAGCCTGTTTCTGCGGTGCTGCCGGGGCTTTTAAAGTTCACGCAGATGGCTTTGAACACCTGCGACTCTAACCTTTTGAGTGCTGCATGGAAATGAGTGTCGTGCCTTCCTTGAAGGAAGAAACCCGTCCCCTGAAGAGCTCGTTCTCATCACCGCCTCTCCCAGGAGCCAGAAACCTGCTCCCCCCTCGCAGCCTGGCCCAAGACCCCCCATTTTCTTTAGGTTTCTGCCCTTCTCAGTGGGAGGATGTGATGCTCCGGGTTTAAGCTCCCATCTTGCTCTCCTCGAATCTTCCCGCTTCGCTGTTTCTTTTGGAGTTTGTCACCTCTCCCCCTGCACGCACATCTGAGACTTTCTGGGTGATGCCAGAGGGGGATCCGGGCGGTTTGGCCCCCGGAGCGAGGTGCCGAGCCTGGAACGGGGCTGTTGGTTCTCGCCTGACGTCTGTGCGGGAGGAGGTTCGTGGGGCTGCAGGAACTTTCCACCCATTATATTTTGTCTCTGGACATCCCCGCTGCCAAGGGACGAAGCTGCTTCTCAGCGTAAAACTTTTTTGGTCCCTTGTCTGGTTCTCCAGCCTGACCGGAATACGGCAGGCGTTTCTGACGCCGAGGTGGTCGGAAAGAGCCTGTCCTGCCCCAGGGGAGGAGGTGAGGTTAGCGGCCTTGGGCTCCGCCAGTTAATGGGGAGAGACGCCAAAGAAATCCTTTCCTTATCTCTGAGGGGGGGGAATAGAAAGCAAAAAGGCAGTAGCTGGGGGCAAAAACCCTCGTGTCATTAACTCTAGAGAGCAAAGAGCGTGTGTGTCTCCTCCCGCCCCACTCGGGGGGTGAGGAAAGCCGGGCTCCGGTAACAGCCCGCTCCCCGCGAAGCACCGAATCGCCGCAGAAGCGCCAAATCATCCCAGTGGCTTCTCAGACCCACTGAGCTGCGGCCGCTCCGCCTCGAGGCCTTCAGCTCTCCCGATGAGTCCTTCAGTCTGGAGCGATCAGCATCATCCGTCTTCCTCCCCTCCGCCCCCGGCCGCTCCGACAGCGGCAGCGCCCTCT